CATCATTCGCGCATCCCGAGGCACGAGCTGGGCTGGCCTCTTCTTTCCTTTGCCGATCTTTTTCTTTTTAAATTAAATTAGAAATCTTGTTAAAATTTTTTCATTTGTTTTATTATTTTGGGACTGGTGAATTTATTTGGGCCCTCCGATGTGAGGGCAATCGGTAATAAGTGTGTGTGGGGTGGTTACTGTGTATGTCTCCCATCCCCATTTCTTTCTTCCCTTTTATCTACCCGCTAGATGGTAATTAGGGCATTTTTTGAAATTGATACTTAATGGCTATGCATTGCGTATGCATCCATGGCATTTGTATTGCATACATTAGGCTCGGTACATCACGCTAACCGCATTTGTATTTCAAATTCTAAACCGAATATTTGATAATTGTGTATTTTCACATACCATGTTTAGGGTAGCCGAGCCTTGCCTAGATGCAATTTTGCATGTAATGCATTAGCCACTTTTAACATGAACTAGACATGCATGTTTGCTAAGATAGTTAACTGTTTGCACGGCATACGAGTAAGTATTTTTGCTTTAGCATCCAGCATGCTGTGTGAGTGTTGCCATGACAGTCATGCTTCCATGCGCTAAGTGCTTACATGAGATAAACTGCTTGAATGCCTTGGGTGGAGGTCAAATTTGCTTATTGGGAGTAATGCGTCTAAACTGTCGATTTTTTAAAGCCCACTAATGTGGCAAGACCATCTTTTCCAAACAGCCCACTTGAAGGTGGCAAAACCTGCATTTTAGACCACTACGAGTAAGCAAAAACCATTTTCAAAACGAACATAAATGTTTTATCCATTTGGGCAATCGGTCTATACTTGTTTGCCGCGGCAAAACATAGTATGCTAGGCTAATAATTGGAATAAGACACATAACGTAATTCAAAACTGGATATCACGGTTAAGTAGAGCCGTTCCGAAATTCGACGGGCGAGGAGGGGTGCTCATAGCGCCTCCCCGATCGTACCCAAAGCTCCCGAGCGAGACAACTCCGGTGAGGACGGACATGGGCCTTCGGCGCCGAGTCAGAGGTTTCCTAAATTTCTCCATTTTAAAATTTAGTGGCGACCTGTATCTGGCAAAACATCCATGAGTTTGGCAACTACTTTTTCAAAAATCTGTTTCTCAGAACGATTTGCCAGATTTGGACTCGTTGTTCAGATTCAAGAACCGTGACACAAAATCGAGATCCGAACTGTAGCATGAGGCCCACGGGCGCGTCTACAGATAATATACGGGAAAATTATCCTTTATTGGGCCACTTTGCAGACTTTTACGAAACCAAGGGCTAAAATGCTATTAACCTAAGTCTCAGGGTTACACGTGTAATTGCCAAAAATTAGGATCTCTACACCATACTCTTTGACATGTCAACTTACAAGGATATTTCCTCTTCAAATAATCTACCAATAAATGAGTGCCCTTCAAGATGTTCAGTAGTCGGATGATTGTACTTGCATTGTTGCAATGAATAAAAATATAATCCTTTCAAGCAAAAAAAATATAAAATATAAAATGAATAAAAAAAATGAAACTGGAAATGCACGATAATGAGTAACCAAACAAATTAAAAAAGTTCAGCCGTGGGTTACTTGAAATGTATCTTTTATTTGGCTGTAGGTTACTGAACATATATTTTTTGTTTAACAATGTAATTCCGAACTATTTTATTTTATTCGATTTTGACACACTAAACAAAAGTCGAAGAACTTTCTCAAAAACACGTAACGAAAACATATTAAATAAAAAATAAAATTCACCATTTCACTTTTTTGATGGTTATTTACTACCATTTTTTCATACATTGCTTTCTTCTATGATTAAAACACTATGATTTTCACTTTTTGAAAAGAGATATGTAGTAAAGAAGAAAAACTAAGAAGAGAAGAAGAGTAGTAAGAATTGAAGAGTAATGGATGTAAGGGGATAATAAAATATATTTAACTTTAGTCTTTTGTCCTTAAAAGTAATTTCACACATGAATAAAATTTGGAAAAAAAAAATCTCATATAGAGGCTAAAAAGAGATAAACTAGTGGTGTAAATAGAATCACTCAAAATAAAATTTAAAAAATGCTCATTTTTTTAAGAGGGAATTACATTCACTCGAGAGGGAATTTTTTATTTTTTTTACAGACTTGCACTCCACAACTTTTCACTAGTACCTTACATATTCTTGTAATTTTTTTTATCTGTCCCACAATTTAATTTTTTTTTTTTAATTTTATCTTGTCACACTTTTCAAAATTCCACTCCTATCCTTATTTTTAACCCCCAACTTCTTATCCTACTCCTATTCTTTTTAACAAAAATATTCTCCAAGAAAAAACTAAAAGCGAAGAGTAACAAATTAAAATATAAATGAAAAAAATTGGTGAAAAATTCATCCTTTGAGAGTATAAGACATTAGATCTAAAGTAAAATATTGTTAGGTAATAAGGACACGCCGAAAAGGTCGTCAGAAAAAGTTGTCGGAAAAAGTCATTGGTGCTAGAAAAGTCACCACTAAATTGGCCGAAAAAGTCACCGGCGGTGACAAGTGGTGGTGTTGTGATAGAGAAATATGTGATATTCAACAAATAAGTTGTTGAATGAGTGATATGTGTCACATTTCAATAAATAGTTTGGTAAATTTCAATAGATAGACAGATAGATTGATTTCAAAAAATAGTTATCCTTTTGGCCAAAAGAGATTAGTTATGGCCTGAGTGCCCAAAATAAATTACAAATTAGTGAAAATTTTTATTAAGAGCGATCATAAGTTTTGAGAGAAATAAATATAATTCATCTTTTTAAATATAATAAATTATATATATATAGGGGAAATTACAAAATACTAAATTTTTTTTATTTATTTTCAATCTAAACCATTTGCAAGTTTTCGTTAAGTAAAATTAATAAAAAAATGAATATTTTAGTCAATATCTCCATAAAATAATATTTTAAACATTTTATGTACAGTTCCGATTTGTAACTCAAAAATACCGAGGCTCGAATGGCCTGAGTTCCAAAACGATGTTGTTTTGGATTTATTTATTTTTTTCCCTCTTTTCTCTTTGAAGCAGTAGTGAAGATGAAGAAGATAAAGAAGAAGAAGAAGAGAGGAGAGAGAGAGCATCAACCAACTCAGATCATCATCATCAACCGAGAGAGAGCATCAACATTAAACAACAACACATCATCATCATCATCATCGTCATCACACATCATCTTTTCTTCCTCTGTTTTTTTTTTCTTTTCTTTTCTTCTTCCATAACTCAGAACAGAAAAAGAAAGAGAGAGATAGATCTATACACACACAGAGATCATCAACAGATTGGGGAATGGAGAGACGCACACACAAATCATCAACAGATCGGGGAACACACACACACACACAGAGAGAGAGAGAGAGAGGTACACAAATATGTATATACACACACAGAGGATGGCAACGCCGGTGATGGGTGGAGCATCTCTCTCTTTCTCTGTTCCCCCTTCCTCTCTCTCTTCTCTCTATTTCTCTTTCTATTTCTCTTCTTCTCTCTCTTCCTCCCTCTATTTCTGAGATATAAGATGAAAAAAAAAATGCCCAAAACGACGTCCTTTTGAGCGGTCGAGCCATTCAGGGCAAAGGAATTTTGAGCTATGAAGGATTATTGTTTTATGTTAATCTATATTGAGTTTAATAATTAACAATTAAGGGAGGAGCTATAAAGGAACGATTTGGAGCTTGTTGAACTCGCGGGTCATTCGGCTAGTCACTACAGGATTTGACTGCATCTAACCTATCGGTCGTACTGATTGAAGGGACTACACAGGATTGTTGGCTCGAAGCTTGAGCAGACATAGTTAGATCTTTTGTAAAATACTCTTTTTTTTTATCGGTTTTACTTGACAAAAATATGTTAATGATTTAAATTGAAAATAAATAAAAAGATTAGGGTTTAAATTGACAAAATTAAAAATTCAGAGTTTATTTTGTTAAAAGGTTCAAATTTTGAGATTTATTTTGTAGTTGTCCCATATATATAATAACATTTATTGTATACATGAGAGAGAAAATAATTTGGACATGTTTACTAAGAAACAATATAGATATACTTTCTCACTGATGAATGAGTGTTAAATTCTATTTGTAGTTCATTATGTTTCTAAAAACTACCCAATGTCTTATAAGAAGAACAAGTATGCATTGTCGTATATGATGATGATGTGATCATGTTACAAATAGATTTAAACCATCCTTTTATATGACAAGACTACTTATAATATGTGATGAAATAATTTTCGTGACAGAAGACAATTTGTGGTGATGTTTAATTGTTATGGTCCAACCCTTGAGTCTTTAGCAAATTAGCACAATGTCAAGGCTATCTTTCTTGGCAAATAACTTCAGAGATCTTGGCTAATGAACACAATGTTAAGCTTTGTTTTCTTTTCTTACATTCAAGACTTTAGCTATGTCTCTTACTTAGTCTAGTTTAGTTATTTTTCCTTGTCTTGTGTTGACTATTTGAAAATTTTGAATGCTGTTTCACATACATATTTGAATATAAAGAATACAAATCCCAATAGCAATTGTATATAACATTATAATGTGTTTGGAATTAGCTAATTCACAAATAAAAAAACATTTGGTGCTAAGTTGTAAAGACACATGCTTATTCTCAAAATGAAGTTCCCTTTCACATGTACAAGAATTATTACATCAAACAAAAAGTAATGATATGCAAACATGAAAATTATATAGAAAATTTATACCGAATGACGTGACAAATATGTATACAAAAAAGAGTACATATTCTTGATACTTTTTTTTATTTAAGTTTGTGTATATAAACTTGTTGCAACTAGAAACAATGATTAAGCATTCACCTTGTACATGGTATAATTTCTATCGAGCACTCAATAGAGTAATCGTGATTTCATTGGCTGAAGTTGTTGCTTCCTTGGTTGACGAAGAACTAGGCTGAAGAACATTTCTAGCAGTGAAGAAGCCAGGCTGTTTGGCTCAAGGCAATGCAGCTTCACTGCACAACATCAGAACTATAGATGACATGCTTGGCCTATCCTCTAGACTGTCGTGCACACATAAAAGACCCACGTGGATTGATCGCAACATTTCAGTTTGGTAGCACAAGTCCCATAGAGCCTCATCAATCAATTCCAATGACTTGCCATCTTCATAGAGTCTCCATGCCTGAATAATCCACTACAATATTAGCAGTATGAGACACGATCGTCTATCTCCAAATTTCGCGGTTCTCCTTTCTCAAGACACTCATAGTTAGATTATGCCTCAAGATTCTCAAGTGATCCAACAACTATGAGTGTTTCGGAGCAGAAGGCGTAGAGAATTTAGGAACGAAGGATCTTTGACCCTTATTGGAACACATCCATATAAGTTTACTTCTAATCTTAGTACATTTACATGGCGAAGGAGGTTGAGGCTGTGACCTGGGTGATAAAAACCTCTGTTTTTCTTTCCACTCACAATCTCTAGCACCAAAACGCCAAAGCTAAATACATATGATTTTATTGAAAATAGCCCATCTATTGCATACTCTGAAGACATGTAGCCACTGCAACAAAACACAGAATGAAGAATTGGATTTTGAAGAATAAGTGAACTAGAAAAAACAAGTTATAGAGATTCTTACTATGTTCAAACCACTCTTTTTGTATTTGCTTCTGTCTCATTTCCTCCAAAACTTCTAGCTAATCCGAAATCTGATATTTTTTGGTTCATGTCAATATCTAGCAAAATATTGCTAGCTTTGAGATCTCTGTGAATAATTCTTAGCCTGGAATCTAGATGGAGATAAAGAAGCCCCCGTGCAGTCCCATTAATGATGTGGAAGCGCTTTGGCCAATCCAGTAGCATGCTTCTTGTTTGATTTGACCAAATTTTTGCCAGATTTAGTCCATGTTCCTGCTAATTGGATGCATGAATTTAATAGGATTCCACAATGAAAAATCCAAAATTTTGGAAACTAAGTTCATGCAAATGCACATGTAATAAAAATCACATATAATTTTGTTCCCATTATCAAATATATCAAAAGCTTTACATGAAACCAAAAAAGAAAAAAGAAAGAAAGTCTGTTGGCTAGTCTGAGAGTGGAATCGTTGTGGTATATATTCGAGAGAGCCAAACCGAATATAAAATAGTCCAAGCTTTTGTTAGGCATGTATTCATAGATCAACATTGTTTCTTCTCCTTGAATGCAACATCCTAGAAGCTTCACGAGATTTCGGTGCTGAAGTTTGGCAATACAAATAACTTCATTCTTGAACTCATCAAGTCCTTGACTAGAATTCTTTGATAACCGCTTCACAGCTATTTCTTGTCCTCCTTCCAATATACCCTAAGAATTACCATTATAATTGATAGAATGTTGTTCTATTAGAATTATATTGAAAAGAAACACATTTTTTTCCTTCTTTTTTTCTCGATTCATTTTATTTATATCTTTTACTTACTATTTTTATGTTGATCTGGCAGACATTGTTTTAATAGGTGCAGCCACGACAAATTAATGATTTATGTTACGACTACTTGAAGACACAATTACATAGATTTATGGAGTTTCCTACGTAAGAAAAGATGCATCAAACCAATTGTCTTCTTAGGAAGTTGAAAATATATATATATAATTACTCTTCTCAAAAGCAGGTGTATATATAAAAATTTTACAACCAGAACGGTGGGTCCTGTATTAAAAGGTTTTATAGAACAGTAAGTATAGGACCATATAATTTTATCCAAAAAGTGAGGGCCGAAACACCAAGATGAATACAGTGCTGCAGCCTACAACACAACATTCTATGCACCTTTTTGTGATATATATATATATATATATATATTAGCGTATGCCCGTGCCTGAAGGCACGGTGTAAATAGTGTTAGGATTAGAATATAATTGTAATCTCAACACTATTTAAATTTATTTTTTAATTTAATAAAATCACAAATTTATTATAAAATTTTGGAGTTCTCACAAAACTCCTCACGAAAACTCGCTCTTGTTAATATAATATATAGCTAGATAGATAGATGTGTTAGCATGCATACAATTTCCACGGGCATACATACAATACTGCTTTTGCTTATAAAATTATATGGAAATTGTACGGATGCCCGTAATGTCCTAGTGTTTTACGGGTATACATACATTGTATGGAAATATGTGTAAAATATATTGAACAAAAAGGAGAAAAAAAAAAAAACAAATAGAAAAAAAAAGAAAAAAAAGAAAAATAGGAAGGAAGGTGGGATCATGGGATCATGGAAGGATGGGTGAGAAGGAAATAGTAAGAGAGAGAGAGAGAAGCAGAAAAAATAGAAAATGTAGATGTAGGATATTTTTTGAAAAATATATCTCAGCCGTTGTTTTATAATTTGAATAGATCTAAGTCGTCCAAATGTCCTAGTAGGACAAATGTGTGTAGGACAAATTCAAAAACCATCATGCTTTATTATATAGATGTTGAAGATTCATATGAGGTCTAAACTTATGAAGTCTATTTAAAAGTAATAATTAATTATTCAAATTCATTTAATTTGTGGACTATAAAATTCATTAATATAATCTCCATTACACACTGTAAAATCTGGCTCATAATTCTGAGATTGTAGACATTTTCATATAATATGAATAAAAATAAGTGAACAAAAAGGAGAAAATAAAAAAAATAAACAAATAGAGAGAAAAATAAAAAATGGGAGAAAATAAAAAAAAAGTAAAAAGAAAAGAGAGAGGAAGGTGAGATCATGGGATCATGGAAGGATGGGTGAAGAAAATGAAAAAGTAAGAGAGAGAAGCGGGAAAATAGAAAATGTACATGTAGGATATTTTTTGAAAAATATATCTTAGCCATTGTTTTATAATTTGAATAGATCTAATCCGTCCAAATGTCCTAGTAGGATAAGTGTGTGTAGGACAAATTTAAAAACCATCCTGCTTTATTATATAGATATATAGCATTACTATTTAGGAAAAAGTAGTGATAAAAATGTTGAATGGTTTTGTGGCTTCTGCATAGGCTCCATGAGATTGGGCATCGACAACATTCCTATAGACTACATAAGAGTGTCTTTACATTGTTACCTTGTAAACAGATCTGAAACCACCCTCTCCAAGCTTATTGTTGATTGAAAAGTTATTTGTGGAATTAACTATTACAGCTAAGTCGAACAATGGAAACTCTAGATCTTCCGTTTGGCTTTTGTCAGTGTGACCTTGTTTAGAGTTGTGCATCAGATTTCCTGCAAAGCCCGGGATGAATAGATATCAATATGACAACTAGTTCCAAAATATAACATACCATTACAGAGTTTGCCACAGAATGACACATATGGGATATATACCTTCTCTCCGCAACTGTGAATTCTTTCTTTTCCTTTTTTAGAGATACACGATTAGGCTCATACCTAGCAGAAGAAGTCCAATTAAAAATGCCAAGGTCACTGCTACTATCTTTCTTTTCTTGCCATTCAAGACAACTTGTAGGACTGTTGAATCATCAATCCATTTAAAAAGAAATGGTCCATTGATCAATTAGACAATATGATCATGAAAGCACAAACTTAAAGGGATTGATCTCAATTTCAAACCCTTGCAAACCTTCTATATTTTGAAATTGTTACGGAAAAAGGAATGAGAGAAGCTAAAACAAAACAAACACAAAAGCACACAAGAATTTGCAGGCAGGCTTTGCTTTTTGGACGATATTCCTCAAATACTTGCGCATCAGTCTAAAGTGTGCGCCTCAGGTGCACTTTGTATGCCTTTTGCACATAATCAGATGAAGAGCTTGTCTTAGGATCTCTTCAAACTTAGCCTAGTAGATTGTTTAAACATAAGAAAAGAATAACCTCTTTGACAACTATATTCATAGGAAAAATCAGGTTAAAAGAAAAGAAGAAAAATAGAATAACCTCTTTGACAACTATATTCTTGTCAAACTAGGAGTTTCATGTATCTGGCATTTTGTATTGTGAATACTTGAGAAACCCATCTCTGCTTTTGCAATCCAACCCTGTCCTCTGAACACACCCATTAGACCAATCTCTGTTTCCCCATTCTATTTGGTTCCGGGGCACAAATTTACTCAAACAACCACATGATGGCAAGTTTCTAACATTACGGCTGCCATTCGGACCACACAGTTTATACATATCACAGTTATCGTTGGTCCAGTCAAGTAAAGGATTGATTCCTGTGTTCGATCAATCCATGTCCAGCGCTTGACAACACCATCATGACTCAAAACAAACCTTGAAACAACTGAACTGAGGAGTTCAAAATGATAATACACCTCCTCCTTAGTGTAAATCACTTCATATCTGTAGATTGTATTAGGTTTAAGGTTTCGTCTCTCGCTGAATCTGATACCATTCCATGGTCCACTTCAGAACAGATCAACAGAACCCCTACTCAGAATATTTTGTGGGTATCCTTGAGGATCACACCGGTATGTAAACTCACCTGGGGTTGGATCATCGCTACTCTTCCAGGAGGAGAGGTGGCGCTCTAGGCCCTTTACAAAGTTCTTTCCAAGCTTCATTCCTGGCAAAAGAGTATTGCACGGATAGTCAAAACTTTGCCATAGAAAATGCTCAGACGTATCATTGGCATCTTTCACAACAAAGTTTCCCGACTCCATCAGTTGTGCAACAGGGTCTTGCGTGGATCCGATCACATTGGGAGACCAAATGACACTGCCGGTACTATTGACAAGGGCGATAATTCCAAGGTTGATTACCGTTAAGACGCCCGGCGAATCGACGAGTAGGATTTCTCTATTGGCAACCCATACAACAGTCTTGGGGGATATTTTCTTATATCATATTCCCAAGTACATATTCTGGGAATTGCCAAGGATGAAAAAACCCATCTCAAAGCTTCCACCAGATGAAACAATGGTATTGCTGCCTGTAATGGAGTGGGTTTTGGTTATGGTGTCTACTGCGTTAGAGACTATTAAGATGGAAAACAAAGAAGAAACACAAGAAAGGTATTTTGAGGCCTTCCATTGATGGTCTAATGTCTACTAATTTCATCTGCTTTTACCAGTATTTATTCAATTTATAAATGAAGACTAAAGAACTTTTACAACACAGTAAGCCTTCAGTGGGAATTTTCTAAAAGAGAGAGGTGTATTTATAATCACATAAAGAGAAAAATAAAGAGGAAAACAAGAAAGGTACTTTGAGGCCTACAATTGATGGTCTAATGTGAAATTCATGAATTTCCTCTGTTTTCCATTATTTATTCAATTTATAAAAAATGAAGACTCAAGAACTCTTACAGCAGAGTATGTCTTTGGTTGGACTTTCATAAATGAGATGGGAGAAGTTACAATCTATGTTACATGAAATCTGGCACAGTAAAGTTCAAGTGTTAGGTGTAGATGCATATATAGAGGTCAAACCTCAAATTTAAGAGTACGCATACTCGGTTAAAAAAGGGTCAAAATTTTAATATATTATGTGAGATAAAATAATTATATATATAATATGCAGTGTGAAAAGGACATTTTACTCATTTTTATTGAATCATATCAAAATATATTCATACAATAATATTGTTAAATACAAAGGGTAAATTACACCCATGAAGTTTAGAAAAAATACAATTAACCTCACACTTTTGACATAATAACACTAACCTCGCTAGAAATTTTAATTCATAAAACACTTGGTCATTTTCATCTGTAATTCATGAGCCCTGTACATGAAAAAATAATATTATCATGTCTTTTATACTAAAATATATATTTACCTTCCATCATCTACATTAGTTCTGACGGTTATACCAAAAGGAAAATTAGCATAACGTTGTAGGATTAAACTGAGCGGTCAATTTAATTTGCTCAAATATAAATATAGGACAAGAGAACAACTGTCAAAATCATATGCTAAAAATAAAACCCACAAAACACCCAAAAACTAGACTAAAGCAACCCAAAATACTGACCTCTACATATAAACATTTTAACAAACAGATGATAGGCATGGCACAAATTGATGTTCACTCCTTCCTCCTACTCCAATTCCAACCATTGCAACTCTAGCCCACCACAACAACACCCCAGATATCAGATTTTGATCACAAGCGAAACAATCCAAGTTTTTCATAATCCTGCATTTGTAGCGATTCCATTTCACAATAATGCTGTTGTGTTTTGAACCGTAACCGAAAATTGTGAGTTTCATTTTCATTTCCAGAATTCATCTTCTAAAAAATTTTACTTTTTGCTTTTTACTTTTTATATTTTACTTTTTAGTTTTTCATTTTTCGTATTTTTTTTTATTTTTACTGATATTTTTAATATTTTAAGTAATTTTTTAATTTTTAGACATATCTAACATAAATATACTTAAAAAGTATAATATTTGTGATTTTTTTTTAAAAAAAAATCATTAAACATCAAAAATACAATAATTTAATACATTTTCAAAATTTTCTATATTTATTAATTTTTTAAAATATTTTTTCATAAATATTTTATTATTTATATACATCTAAATAAGGTACATATAAAAAAATTGCTTGCAATTTTAAAAATATTCACTAAAAATAAAAAAAAAAACGAAAAATAAAAAACTCAATTTAAAAAAAATTGAATTCAAAAAATTAAAACTAAATACACTAAATATTTTTTATTTCTCATTAAAAGTGATCAAATTTGGTAAGAAATTAAAATAATATTTTTAAAGTCGACAACATCTTATATATATATATATTTAATAATTATCAAATTACCACAAGCCAAGACCTGGTGATCGTCTATTCTTTGTCTTAAAAAAGAATATATATATATATATATATATATTGAACCAGTGGCCCTGAACTAGCTAGACTTGGAATTTTGTTGAGTACTAATACTAATTGGCCTTATAAAAATAGACAAATTCACCATCCGTATACAAAAGTGGACTTATAACTGCTTTACAACAACAAAAAAATTCAAAACGCTAAAATTAGTTAAAAAAATAATCAGATTCAAATTGTAGTTCAAGGGATCATATAGCGATCCCGGTATTCCCTGTTGTTGTTTAACTATAATCCGGACTCGGTTCCGTAGATTCGTTGTTGTCTTATCCTCATTTCTATCCCTTACTCTTTTAATTAGAGTTTTGGGTTGTGTTGGGCTAGTTAGGAATAAGTTGGTCGTGTTTTAGAACTTAAAATTTTGCCCAGGTTTTGGTATCTCCGCTCGAGCGGCGATATGACGCTCGAGCGGGCTTTTGTTGTTGCCTCTCCGCTCGAGCGGCAGTTTGGACGCTCGAGCGTGAATTTCCTTCTCTCAGCATTTTGGACGTCTACAGAAAATTCTGGGAGAGTGCATCCGGCGCTCGAGCGGATCTTGGGACGCTCGAGCGTGAACCTGTGTCTGACGCTCGAGCGGGGTGTTGTACGCTCGAGCGGACCTGTTTTTTATATCAGTCCGTGAAATCACTTTTTTGATCACTTTTTGATTTCCTTTCTCTCTCTTACTTTTTCAAGACCTCCATTGGAGAGCACCTCACTCTAAAACCCTAACTTCTCTCTTAGGATTGATCTAGTAGGAGTTGTTTTCTCACCTTGGGCCTTTACAAAAGTTGTGTTGATCGTAGAGGGCTATCTTTTAATCTGAAAATTTCGGGATTTGGAGCTTTTCCGTTTCTTCATCTCCTTCGTTGAGCCCCATCATTCGAGGTATGGATATCCTACTCCTCTTTATGAGCTTTGTCTTTAAATTTTAGCATTTTGATATGTTGGGGGTTGTTGGGTAATTTTTGAGAAAGTTTGGGCCTTTGTGCAATTTTACGAAAGTTGAGGTTTTAAATATATAAACCTATATGCATGTTAGGCATAGAGAAATGAGATTAATGTAGGGACATAGATGGAAATGGAACCTTAGGGTTGTTTTATGAATTATGGTAATTTGCCCTAATTGGTTTAGTTAATTAACGCATATAATTAATTAAAGAAAACGAGGAATTGAATTGAGAATGTTGAAATTAGGAATGTATGGGACTAAAGAGTGTAGCCTAATCTTTTATTGCTCATCTAGTTGGAATGTTGATATATTATTCATTTGTGCATTTATTTCCTGCTTAGAAATAATTGCTTTGGGCTACCGGTGGAGGGTAGTGTTGATTGTTGTAGACAATGCATGATGATTAGGAAAAACTAAAACTAATCAATCGGATGTGTCATAGAGTATGACGGTTGATAGAATACATTAACTTTATGTATTGAGTGATTGTGTATATGACCAATGTGTTTATATGCATTATGTGTAGACGGTTGGTAGAATGCATTAACTTTATGTATTGATTGATTGCGTATGTGATTCTGTGTTTACATGCGTTATATTGTGTATAGAACCTTTGTGTTTATATGCATTGTGTAGAGGAGGAGATGGGGGATGTACTCCGCGGTTTAGGGGAAGATGGGGGATGTACCTCTAAACCGGATAGGATTGGGAGGAGATGGGGGATGAACTCCGTAGATACAGCTCATATGCTTGTCTAGAGAAGTGAAGATACAGCTCATATGCTTAAGGGAAGATGGGGGATGGACCCAGGGATGCAGCTCATATGCTCTCCCATTGTAGTGATGATATAGCTCATATGCTTATCTATTGAAGTGTTGATACAGCTCATATGCTTATCTATTGTAATGTTGATATAGCTCATATGCTTATCTATTGAAAAGTTTGTTTGATTTGGTATAGCACTAAAATGTATATCATTATCGTTTGCGAAGTATGAAAGTAGTTTATGCGTTATTGATACAACACCAAAATGTGTATCCACCTTGAATTTCGAAAGTGTTCTAGTGATGAACTATAATCTCATCAAATGTTTTGGCCAGAGTACTGAGCTTGTTTTCAAACTCAAAGTTGAATAAGAAATGGAAAGTGAATTGTAACATAGACTTGACTGTCATGGAATTATGATAAGATGTAAATGGAAGTGTACGTATTGACCATCTATCAGTTGCTAATCTTTTAGGCATTGTTCATAGTCGGTTTAGTATATTTCTACTGGGCTGTGGCTCACCCTATATGGGAACATCATTTTCAGGTACAGGTAGCATGCCATCTCCGAGGACATAGCTTGGGAGGCTAGGGGCAGACATACTTTTGTTGCCTTATTTTCCTTTTGATGTATTACATGTAAATTCAAGTCAAGGGCCTAATGTGTAATTGAGTTAGTACTCTCTTTTGTAACCAAGTGTTAACTTGGAAAGCTGTAAGCCCGTAAGGCATTCGCTTTTGTTGTTAACATGTAATACTTTTGTAATGAAGTACTCTGATGAATAGACGAATGTGGACTTTTTATGTATCAATGCATGTTTCTATATGGATGGGTTTAATGTTGTTATTTTGAGGGCGTTACAACTTGGTATCAGAGCTTACCGGGTTCGAATACTTTGGGTACGTGGGAAGTGATTAGTATCACAATGGGTTTGTCTCGCTTGTTAGAGACTTAGACGTAGTGTTATGTACTTATGTGATAACATCTTTATGTGATTATTTGGGTATGGAATGTAGTTTCTTGGATGTTGATTGGATCCTTGGGTTTCTGGGAGTCCTGTTGGAAAGGCACTTGATCAATGCTGTTTCTGACCGAAACTCTAGTAACGCCTCGGGACTATCATCATCTGGAA